TAATACTGTGCCTGCATTAAGCCAATAATATACATTTTTACTTCAGTCATTAAATGCAGGATTTATACCAGGAGTATTTGTAAATACTTTAACTACTTCTCCAAAACCTTTTTCCTCCTCAAAAAGAACAAAAGACATACAGTTTCTTGTCTTCGTGGTTTTGCAGCAGCTTGTCGACATTGTTCGAACACTAACATCTCTATTTCCCAGAACACCAGGTTTACACCTACAACGCTGAGGGCGAGAGTCCCAGAGGTGGAGCGTCTCAGACACGTCCCGGCCCTCCTGACAACGTCAGCCTGATGAACGAATCATCCCTGAGGCCCAATCACAGCAGAGCACTGCGAGATAAAGGTGAAACAGAGCTGAGGGCGAAAGCACCAGACGACCAGGAGGAGCATCTGAAACTCTCTCGCTGCCTTAGCGACCCCGGTCAAAACAGAGATGAGGAGGGGGACGGCTCCTCCCTCTCATGATGAAGCACATGTTTACATGTTTCCTCCTCGTCTCTCCTCGTGTCATCAGTTACGTTCAGTCAGTGAAAATCACTGGATGAACAATCGGAGCAAAGCTTTATATTTGGGATCATTTTTACGTTTATACCTGAATGTCCAGAAGTTCATATTTCATCACACTACAGAATGCACCACAGCCATTTCCTGTTTCAGTGTGAGTCACATTGAGTCTTAACACGCACGTGTGCATTAAGTAGTACAAGAAAAAGACAAAAGCACCTTTACCAAACTTGAAGCACCAGATGGGTGGAGTTTACCGCTCAAAGCACATTAGTAGGAATAACACAGAATGAATTCTGATGGATAACTGATCAGATATCAGCTCGTGTCAGTGTTGACCAAAAGGAAAAATACTTTTCATATCAGAAATGCTTTAATGTATTTGAGTTCATTTAGAAGGAGCTCGTCCAAACTGCCAACATTCGCTGTCCCCACAGGACGAGTCCTGTGGACACGTGTGGGAGCTGCTGGACTGTGATGTCATTTGGTTCAGAGCACAGACGGCAAATAAAGATGCTCGGCACAGCTTCCCTTCCTCCTGCTGTGCCGACTGTAAGCCAAAGTATCAGGGTTCAGAACCTATACTGCAAGCAGCCACCGGGGGGCGATCAAAATTCTTTGGCTTCACTTTTTTGGGAGCTGTCACGTCGTCCATCTTTGTAGTTCGTGGGCGTGATCAAAGCTGTTGTGCTAATTAACAGAATATCTGCATCAGTAAAATCTTTCCTATCAGGCTCAGCTTTGTGCCATTTAGCCGTATGTTAGCATGCTATCGTGCTATACTGGGATCAACATGTTAAAACAGTGAGTGTGTTAGCATTTAGCTCGAAGCACAGCCTCTAACTGTACAATGTGCTGCTCTGTACGTGTCGTGGTCTAAAATGTTTCAAAGAACAAAAGAAACTTTAAGGGATTTTATATAATCATTGTGTTTTTGTAAAAAAAAAAAAAAAAAAGTTATGTTTGTATCTGCCTCAAAAACACTGGCCGTGAAGTATTATGGAACAAAGTGAACCACAGTAACTTATTTCTAACTGTCGACTGGTTGGTTGAATAGAAAACATCAATCTGTTGATCCAAGCATGTTCAAACAACTTTAAAGAGTCAAGAACAAACTGAAAGTATTATAATATGACCGACGTCTGTGAACAAACTCAGCACTGTTGATGTTTCAGATGTGGACGCATGACGGATCAGTGTTTTCTCAGGGACCGCAGCTTGGCACATGATTAACAGATGCCCACTGCAACAAAGAAAATAAGTGTTTCTGTCCAAAATGTGCTCCACGGTGATTCATTTGTAATGTGAGCGTCGATAAGCTCAAGTGTTTGTTGTGCTGCGAGCTTCAGTAACATTCCCACAGAGACGCAAAGCTCCACGTGTGTGTGTTCTTCTTATCGGAGCATGTTTATCCTGAGTCTGCTGCACTGCACTGGACTGCCTGAGCTTCTGCTGCCTGCACACGTTTGCCTTAAAATGTTTGTGCTTAAAATGTGTGTTTGCCAGTTTTTTGTTTTTTTTATATCATGAAAAGAAAAACTTGAGGTTTTAAAAATGTGTTAAATGGAGAAAAGCTTTAATTCCTGTCTGAAATAAAAGTTTACCATCGTTAATGTTCAGGAATGATGGGCGTGGATTTTGTTGGATTTGGGAAAATGGAGCAGGTGGAGAGAAAATCAGCAACACGTTAAAGACACATTACATTTTACATATTACAGTCTTTAACGATGTTACATCACAGCCTGTGAGGGAGGAATAAGTTCCACCTATCGTGGGTCTCATTGGAAATTCCAGAGTCTAAATAACAGGGAGTTTAAAGTCCCCAACATGACAACCAGCAGTTTGTGATGAGATTATCACAACGAGAACAACAAACACTCTCAGGCAGCAGCAGCACAACCAGGAGCTATGGACTTCAGCGGCACCTGGAAAGTTTATTCTGAGGAAAATCTGGAGGAGTTCCTGAAGATAGTTGGTACAGATGTTTTCTCATATTTGAAGGATTTGTTAATGTAATGTGTGCAGACGTATTTATTCGTCATCTCTGTGTTTCAGGTGCACCTCAGATGGTTGTCAAAATGCGTAAGGAGGTCAAACCGGTGATAGTGATCGAGCAGAACGGCAAAGATTTCACCTACACGATGAAAACTCCCGTCTGCACCAAAGTTCACTCGTTCAGCCTCGGACAAGAGACAGAGATGGCGTCTTTGGACGGCAGGAAGTTCAAGGTAATTTCAGATTATTGCAAGTAAAGTTGAAACAGAGGAGAAGACGTCAGAGATGATGATGATGAGGATGTTTGACCTTGGAAGACTTTCACCACTCTGAGATCAGGATTCAGTCTGCAGTTTTTAGTTTTGTGCATTTAAAAGTAAAAACCATGGAAACAGTCGTGCTCTTTGCAAAGTTTAAGGAATCTTTACTTTGAAGAACCAGCAATTTAAAACATCTGCAGAGATTATTATTGAAGGTTTTGTCAGATGGACTGAAAAGATGAAGATCTTTGAATGGATGGAGCACAGTCAGTGAGCAAGACAGTTATTATTTAATTTGCTAATTCATTTGTAATTTGTTCCTGAAATTGATTTTTTAAATTTATTTAGAGGATTACATTTTTCTTGCATAACAAACATTTGAGAGCCGCTGACCAACACAACGTTGTTTCCACTTTTTGTTCATTTTGAATAAACAAAATAAATGTACCCTTCCTTTCCTTCCTCATCCCCAATTCTCCATAATAACTTAAAAATTACTTAATATTAAATATAAACAACTGATACACACATTTTCGGTCTCCCCATCCATGTCTGTGTTCCCGTCCAGTGCACCGTCAGAGAGGAGAACGGGAAGCTGATCGCTGAGACTGATAAATTCACCTCTGTCCGAGAGCTCCAGGGAGAGGACATGGTCGAGGTGAGAGGCTTTAGTTCATTTTTAAAAATCTGCTGATGCTACAGATATTCTGTTTCACACAGAAACACAGACTGAGTTTTTTGTGGGTGAATCATATTTATTTGTGTCTCTGTTTCCAGACGGTCACTTCTGGCTCAGTAACCTTCGTCAGCAGAAGCAGACGAGTTTGATCGGCAGCTGTCGGCTCATCCATCGTCCTCTGACCCTCTCAGCCGAGGGCCGAGGGCCCGCAAGTGATTATGAATAAAGCTTAATACATTTGAATGACTTGAATAAAGTTGAACGATTCAACAAACCAAAATAATTGTTTGTATTCGGTTCATTGCAAAAACATGACAAACGTGTGGAAGTGGAAACAACAAGCAGCTCGTGTCTGTCCTTTGTTTCTTTGTGTGATTGCTTTGTGTGTCATTGTGGTTGCGTTGGGTCTGTTAGTGGTTGTTGAGCATCTTTGTGGTTATTTTCAGTGTTTGTGTGATTGTTTTGTGTCTGTTTGTGGCTGTAAAGCTGTTTTTGTTGTTTCTTTATAACTACTTTTTGTGTCTTTTAGTTTTTTTTGCATCCAAGTGGTCATTTGTGTTCCTGTAATCATCGTGTCTCTGTATGTTTGTTTTGTCGCCTCCTCAGAATCATCCCTAACATTCATTCATTCATTCATTTATTTATTTCATTTCATTTTATTCTAAACAGTCACCACTGCACACTGCGGTTCATGCTCCGCACCGGGCGGTGGCGGTAATGTCCTCGTCTGTTGTCGGCCCTTCACACACACACAAACCCAAACGAAGAAGAGGAGCGAACAAGGCGCGTTTTAACTGCGCATGTTCAGCGCACTTTCTCGCTGCTGGGTTTTTTTTTTCTGTAGCGACATTTTCCGCCGCTGAGGGATTTTAATTTCATGGCCAGACACATGAGGCCTCCGAGCACGTCTCTGTTTGTCAGGAACATCGGCGATGAGTCCAGGTGAGTCCGCGTCCCGGCGCCGTCACCGCCGCAGGTCGAACACGAACCACCGCTAGCCCCGTTAGCTTAGCCGCTGCTGTTAGCCTGACGCTAAACCGTCGCGCAGAATAATAATAATAATTAATTGCGTTCACTCACAAATTCAAACCGAAACAGGAGCTGGGTCTTTCCCGCGAAGTGTCCGCGGGGGCGCTATCCGCCTCGGGGACTTCTCTTTGTCCGCGCTGGGATCGTGCTGCACGTTTGTAAACGAGCTAACCGAGCTACCTGCTGTTAGCTAACAAACACGGAGCAGTTCGGGTGTTTGCAGCTGAAATACGTTTTAAAACGCGGAGAACTCAGTTTGTCTTCGTCTGGATTTGATCTGTAGCGAACACGTTATTCATCCTTATTGAATGTTTTTACTTGAACCTGTTTTTTTTTTTTAACATTGTTTAAACATCGTAATGCAGATTAGACCCATCGAGTTTACACATCAGACCACAGCAAACATAATGTTTTCACGTGTGATGAGGTATTGTGTTATTTTATCTGTGCACATTATCAGCAATTAGACACAAGTAGTAAATTTTAAAAAAAAACCATGAAGTAAACGACTTGTGTTCAGAATATACTCAAAGTACTGGTTGTGCAGGATGAACCCTTAAAAACTCATATTTACACATTATTCCATGTATTGAGCATCAACCTGCAGGTTTCACACACTGAGTTTCAAACACAATGTTACTTTATATTCCGCAGGTTGTATTTGATTTTTGATGAAACCTGAATGTAGGAACTGGGTTTTCACATTTTAATTGGGTGCTAACAAAAAGTGTTAAAGGGACAGTTCACCAAAACACAACAGAACAATAAGCGTCTGAAATGCACATCATTGACTCTGGTATGTCCTTGAACTTTTTATGTTTAAGCAACACTGTGTAACTTGAATGAGAGCAGCAGGAACAGCCCGACCTGTCATTTACATTTAAATAGAAGCCGGGCAGCATCACAGCACAAACTTCAGCGAACAAGTGTATTTCTACACTTAAAGACGATCGTTCACAACATGTTTTTAAAGTATTGATGCTCAGGGGCCTTGCGGGACCTGATTCTGACAGTTGAGGCCGTGACGTTCAGTCAGTTCTTCTCACAGGAGATCGAACCCTCTCACCAAAGTCACAGAGAACAGACGTTCAGGGTGAAGAGTGGGAATAAAAGAGGAAACATTCTCCATATTCACACTCACTCAACTTGCATAGTGTTGCATTTAAAAAATGTTGGTGCCTGTTGTGATCATTTGGATTTCAAGAAGTTAAAATTAAAACCAAATTCAACTGGAAAGTCACTTTTAATCCAGCAACAGTGTCTCCAATGAAATGACACGGGCTCAATGCAGACAGGTGGACCACCCTCCAGGTAAGACGAAAACAAAACATGTCTCATTGTGTTTTGAGTGAAATGTCCCTTTAGCTCACCCACCAGCTGCTCTCCCAGCTGTTGTCACATGGTTGATGATGTAGGTCGTGTCCCCCGTGCTGGTCAGTTGAGTCATACTTGTATTTACGGTGTTCAGGCCTGAGGATTTGCGGCGTGAGTTTGGCCGCTATGGGCCGATAGTAGATGTCTACATCCCACTTGACTTCCATACACGTCAACCAAGAGGATTTGCATACATTCAATATCCTTTCCCAATCATGTGTTACCTGTGTTCTTTTTGCATCCCGCTAACCAACAATTTGAAGTTTTCTTTCAGCAGAGGTGTGTTTTTGTGATGTTTTCCTTGCACTTAATTTGATTGAATATCTAACGCACGTATTTCTCTGTTATTGCTTCAGAAAATGTAAAAGCATCCAGTTGTGGAACTGGCCACAAAGAGTAACAAAGACCCTGTGTAGAGTAGCTGTAAAGACAAGTCACACAGAGGCCTTCAGGATCAGAGAGGGGGAAAAGGTTGAAAAGAGAAAAGTAAAGCATGAAGAGGAAAAGGGAACGGAGACAAAGCTTGGAAATGGCGGCAAAGAATGGGAAAAGAAAAGAGGTTTAAAAGTCAAGCAGGAAACCCGAGTCTCTCTGGGAGTCGATTAAAGAGTGTAAAGATCAAGATGAAGTTCAAAGTCAAGCAAAGGTAACGAGCCTGAATTATTTTGTATCCTAAGACGAATCCAAGAATCTGACATGACATCAGAGTCCGCTTGTCCCTGTGATATCGATGACTTTTTCATTTTTGATCAAAACTATTTATTAAGCAACAATTTCTGTGTTTGTTTAAATATGTATTGTCCTGATCCGTCAGACGGTGATTTGATGTGTTTGAAAAACTTACTTCATCTTTTATCTCTACAAGAATCAGCTGAGCGTTTCTTTGTGTATTGATATTTTCTCACTTGTTCTACAGAACAGATTAATGTGCGTACGTAAAATGTTTTAATTTTAAACTCTTAAATTTCATAATTCAAGCCACCCTCCATCATTCTTACATGAATATAAAATAATAAACTATCAGACAATGAGGTGTGAAATGTTGTGTAAAATACAATGGACTTGATAAATTGTGTTGTGCAAAGACAAATAGTTTTTCTTTTGTCCACTGCACTTGTTCAAGAGGAAAACTTTGATTTACATTTATTTGGCCCAAACACGTGAAAGCGAATACAACCCTTAACCACTCAGCACATTTGAGGACGTGCGTGATGCAGAAGATGCTCTTCACAGCCTGGACAGGAAGTGGGTCGGTGGCCGGCAGATTGAAATCCAGTTTGCACAGGGCGACAGAAAGAGTGAGTGTCTGACTTCTGACTTTTCTACAAAGTTTCTGCTGTGGACTAAGTTTCATCTTGAATGTTGGTGGTAGAGAAGGATTTGCTGTGTGATTCCTTCCTGGTTATATCATCTTATAGTAATCAGTAAATCAAAAGTTTAACTACACGAGAATATTAAGTCGCGTCCCTGTTTGAACCATTTCCCATCACATCAGCTCCAAATCAGATGAAGGCGAAGGAGCGGCCGTCTCCAGGCAGATCCTCTCGATACGACGACTATGACCGAGACAGCCGGCGCAGACGCTCACGCAGCCGCAGCTACGACAGATACAGATCACGCAGCCCTTCATACGATCGCCGGCGCAGACGGTCGGAGAGTCCGCGAGAGTGAGTTTTCCTCTGAGTGATTAAATCTCATCAGTCAGATTCATTTTACTGAGAAAGGGGAAAAAGAGAATAACCTCAATTGTTTCCTCAGATCTCGTGGGCGGATTTATGGAAGAGGAAGGAGCAGGAGCCGTGAGGACGACAGGTACCACTTTATATTTATAATATATTTATAATATTTCTGCCTCCACGGCAAAATGTTTTGGTCGAAGTGCTTTTCAGTCTGAGAGCGGAGTTTACACTCACGCACAAGCCCCGCCCCCACTAGCTCACTCACAGACAAACGGAAAGTTGAGAGATCGTCAATGTGAACGAGGCGGTTTGTCAGATTAGTTTAAGAAGAGAGGCGACAAAGTGTGAACACATTGAAACCTTGCTTGGGCGTAAACATTAGTCTTAACAAACTTCTCAGAAAAATATATTTTCATATTTCGGGCGAGTGCAGTTCGTTAACCTCCGCTGGTTTTCTCTCTCACAACCATCTGCGTCCTCAGGTACAAGCAACGGCCGAGGAGAGAGTCCAGAGGAAGATCTCGATCGCGCTCCAGATCGGCGTCTCCGCGAGAAAACATCAACCCAGCTTCGACTTCCCATTACACGGAGGAAGAAGTGCGACGTGCACACTCCCCAACCCGCTCACGATCCCGTTCTGTGTCAAGATCACGCTCTCGGTCCCGATCCTGGGCTGGACGCAAGTCAGGAGGACGCTAGAAATTATCCGCTCCTTCCTTCAGCTCAGTACCAGAGTTGGGTGTTTGTTAAGAAAAGATTTGTTTGACATGAATGTAACGTTCCACTGAACCATTTGTAGAAAGTTTGTTTTTGCAGCTTCCTTTTATGAACAATTCCCGAGGTCGGTTGCTTGTTTTTATAACATTATTTTGGTAACGTTTCCGGTTAGGAACATGATGCAGTTTCTATGTTCAGTGGTTGTCGGCCAGGAATAATCTGTCGTCTTCTTTTTTTTCTTTTTTTTACATACAGTTGCTGATAATTTAGTTTTCTAAACCCTATGCACCCTTTTTGCAAAATCAGTCAGTATTTTAAAAGGAATCCAATTTGTTAACGAGTACGACCAGTTTTTTTTTCTTTTCAGCCGCTCTCAGACATGCACTGAGCTCCGGACATTTTCCGGAGGGGCTGCGCGTGAGAATGCAAATGTCTGAGTCAGCTGCTCTGGACCTTTTCTGGAACTTTCCTCAAGGAAAATGTCCCGAGTTAGTCCGTGTGAGAATACAGCAGGAAAGTGTCTAGAACATTCACGGCGAGCGAGTGGGCGTGTTGATGACGGTTCTAGAAAAATTGAAAATCACAAAACTGGAAGAAAAAAACTCCTCTGGCCCTGAATGTTCGGGACAATTTCCAATCTCCTGCTGTTTTCTTCATGTGTGAAATGTGTTAATTTCTTAATTAGAATAAACTCCAAACTCAGCTTGATTGATAATTCATCACGTTGCACATTATTTATAATCTTCCACTTTTACTGGCGGCTTCAGACCGAATTGAAAACAGATTTCCTGCAGCAGTAATACGGCTGAGAAGGATGAAAACACCGATGGATTCAACTTCAAGTTGATATTTTTATATTTTAACATTAAAACCTCTGGCTGCCTGGAAGGAATAAAAAAATACAAAAACAATATGAAGACTGTTTGGACTTAAATACACTAAAAGAATCTTTTTAAAAAAGTGTTAAAATTTTCTCGACCAGAATCTGTTTGTACATTAATGTGTTTTTTCTGTATCCGTAAACCCTTTTTTTCTAAATTTAATTTTCCGTTCATCAGTTCTTTATCCGACTGTGTTGATAGTTTTTCTGAGCAGCCCTTGTTGTCACAGCATGTTTTATCCTCCCGACCTTCTATCATCCGTAGAAAGAAACTGTTATTTTGAGTATTAAATGATAACGTTCTGTAAAAAGAAACGACGTGTGGCTTCAGTTTGTAAACTCGTTCATCGGGTCAGCTGGATATCAAACACAGGCACTCAGGTTATTTCAATCAGGGAAAACTATTAAAGGAGAAGATATGGAGGAAACATCAGGAGTAATATTTCCCTGGTGCACAGACCAGCGGGCTCCGTGTCCAGCCTTGTTCATTGATTTCCTTTTAATGGAACAGTAGCTGCAGGAATAACTGAAATTAGATTCAGGGGGAGGATGCAGCCATGTATGAAATGGGACATGTCCCATTGATCAGACTCGCCATTCAAAAGATGATCAGACAAAAACAGCTGTTACATAGACCCTCCACATTAAATGAAGTAAAGCAGGTACGAGTTAAATCTCGGTTTAAGACGACGACAGTTAAAGTGATGAAGCATCGTGTTTTCTTTATTTTACACATCTGTCACTGATCTAATTATCAAAAAGATTTCACAAGAAGAACCACAAAGTTTTCGGTCCAGGATTTTAGATTAAACCAATAAAATAAAACAGTTCAAGAAGGTAGCAAATAAAATCGGCTGATTATCACTATAATTAAATTTGTATGTCTTTTGACAGATCAGATGATCACTTCTGCAACATGGATATTTCTGGGGGTTGACTATTTCTGTTCTAACTGAGAGAAGAATTGATCTCTCATGTAGGGAACGATCCCAGCGAAGGGAACAGCCCAGTGCACCAGTTGTGTCCTGAAGGATCAAACCAGTTCAGGGTCCTTTAGGTTCAACCAGAAACAGGCGACAAACAACAAATGTGCGCAGCATATTTCTGCCTCGGTCACTGTCGGGGCCGGACACTACTCTCACCGCTGCAAGGTAAATGGCAACAGAGCGTTTCACCAGCATCCATTGATTTTCTCTTTCATGGACTATAAGTTGTGAACAACTGGAGGCGACTGGACTGATTTGGTTTTGGTCCAGTTTTCACCGACAGCAGAGACGGAAACTTTTGACTTTTTACACAAAGGACCAAGAAAATAAGAGATGTGTCTGTGGGACTGAGCTCAGCAGCAGCCGCAGCAGAAAGGCTTTTATTGTGACATTTCATTTCTGACATGAGAGGTAAGAAAACTCATTTTAAAATCAATTTGTGTGAGTACATTTCAGTGAGATGCACACATCAGCTTTCCACTGTTATTTTCTTTCTTGTGAATAACGTCCCAGGTCTGATTATTGATTTATATTTGATGTGATCGGTCTATTGATTGATTATCTTTAATCACTTTATCTAAAGACGATGAGCACCTATAATAACTGCATTTAAACCACTAGCTCAAGGTCATACAGTCGGATTAGTGCAGTGTCCTATGTGTCAGTGCTCAGCTGTGACAGGGTTAACTGGTCGTATGATGTCAAACTACGTTCTAGACAGAATAGAGATATTATAAATGAGTAAAAGAACAAATACTCAGAAATAGAGTCATCAAAACTTTACTAGTCATGAGTGTCAGTAGAAAATGTGCGGACAGTATAATATAAATACGTTTGTACCAAAATATGTATTTACACGTTAGGAGCATTTTACACTATATTGTGTTTATACTCCTTTTTTTAGTTCTGTAATTTTCGAGTCATGTTTCCACCGAAGCTCCGGCTGCCTCTAAATGGACAAAAGTGAAACTACAACTTTCTCTGAAATGAAGTTTTGGTGCAGATCCAAATTTAAGATCCAATTTATCAGATTTTTGCAAACAGCTAAATATTGATACTAGCCATTCTGTGTTATTCCAGCTGTAAACTTTACGCTGCAGCTTCAGGAAGTTAGTCATTTATTTCCATATGACTGAAATTTCCACAAGAACAAAAGTTCAAACTTATTTAATTTTTAAAAAAGTGAAATCGTATCATTATTATTAAAAAACAATATTGCTGCCTGTGTTTATAACATTACTGGGTTTTAAACCTCCCAGATATTGATGATAATATTGATCAGTTTCAAAGTTAAAAAAACTATATTGATTGTTTATGAATATTCTGACTTTGAGCTTTGACCTCACTCACTCCAGCTCTGCTGATGTAAACCATGGGAGACTGGAACTTCCTTGGTGGGATCTTGGAGGAGGTCCACATCCACTCCACTATGGTCGGCAAGATCTGGCTGACCATCCTCTTCATCTTCCGGATGTTGGTGCTGGGTGTGGCTGCGGAGGACGTGTGGAACGATGAGCAGTCAGACTTCATCTGCAACACGGATCAGCCCGGCTGCCGGAACGTCTGCTACGACCAGGCCTTCCCCATCTCCCTCATCAGGTACTGGGTGCTGCAGGTCATCTTCGTGTCCTCGCCCTCGCTGGTCTACATGGGCCACGCCATCTACCAGCTACGGGCCCTGGAGAAGGAGCGCCACTGCAAGAAGGTGGCTCTGCGTCGGGAGCTGGAGGCGGTGGACGTGGAGCTGGCTGAGGCGAAGAGGAGGATCGAGAAGGAGATGAGGCAGCTGGAGCAAGGGAAGCTCAACAAGGCGCCGCTCAGAGGGTCTCTGTTGTGCACCTATGTGGCCCACATCGTCACTCGCTCTGTGGTGGAGGTCAGCTTCATGATGGGTCAGTACATCCTGTACGGACACCACCTGAGCCCGCTTTACAAGTGTGAGAGGGAACCGTGCCCAAACGTGGTGGACTGCTTTGTGTCCAGGCCCACAGAGAAGTCTGTGTTCATGATGTTCATGCAAGCCATCGCCTGCATCTCCCTCTTTCTCAGCCTCCTTGAGATCATGCACCTGGGCTACAAGAAGCTCAAGAAGGGCATCCTGGACTTCTACCCGCACCTGAAGGACGACCTCGACGAGTACTACGTCAGCAAGTCCAAGAAGAACTCAGTCGTTCATCAGGTTTGCACGGGAACCTCAGTGGGACGCAAGACCACCATCCCCACAGCACCGAGTGGATACACGTTACTGTTGGAGAAGCAGGGCAACGGACCCAACTACCCTCTGCTCAATGCCTCCTCTGCCTTCCTGCCAATACAAGGAGACCCTGGTGCAAAACCAGACGGCCACAAGGACGGCAAGGAGGGAATGCCGAGCCCCACGGAGCAGAACAGCAACTCCAACAACACCAGCAGTGAGACGCGTTCACCTCCTGCGGACAAACAGGATGAACCGGAGGAACGGTCTCCACATCATGAGGACCTTGGGTGTGCGAGCTCAGAGTATCCCACCCTCCCTGTAGCAGACACCTCCTCCTGCACTACACTGTCAGGGATTGTGAGGAAGTCTCGGAAGGTCAGTCCGCCGTGGAACTGCTCCACGGTGGTGGAGGGGAATGGCTCGGACAGCGGTGACTCCTACCACGGGAACGGCAGCAGCATGAAGCTACGTGGCAGCTGCGTGGGCCCCAGAGCCAGGGTGCTCTCCAAGTCAGACATTAAGAGAGTGAGCAGGTCTCAGAGCCCGGACTCTGCAGGGGAGCTGAGCTCCGTGTCCCGACACAGCCGGGAGAGCAACAGCCCCACGGCCTCCTCTCCAAACCGCAGAGTGTCCGTGGCGAGCAGCGCCAGCAGCAGGCGAGCTCCGACTGACCTACAGATATAAACAAACCTACAGCTGTGGATCACTTCCTGTATATAAAGATGGACGACATGACAGTTCTTCAAAAGTGGAGCCAAAAGACCTTGATCGCCCCCTGGTGGCTGGCTTAGTTTAATTTATTTGACTTTTTTAAGTTTCAAGTATTTTAGGCAAAAGTGTTCATTTTTTACAGTATGTTTGTTTTCAATTGGTCGTTGCAATGAAAACATCATGACTGACAGCTGAGACTGACCCCTGATTGGTCGAGAATGCGTATCGGCAGGACCTTGATACCGCAGCTCCACACCACGATCACTACTGCGCAGATTGTGGCGGCAAAATAAGTCAAATGTGCAACACGGCGGCTCCTGAAAATACAGAAGTGTCGATCATCTTTATTTACGGTTTGGAAACAACAGAAACTCAAAGACGTGTTTGGGGGTCAGATAAGATTGTGCCACTGAAAACAAAGAGCAGCAATTTTCAGAATAAAAAACTGTGATCTAACATCTCCTCTTACTTCTAAAAGCTGCTCAGACCCAAACGCACAGATTCATTTTTTCACATTTAGCAGGACGAGCACATGCATCAGACTTTTAATGATCTGTTTGGATGGAACATCTGTGGGATGGAAAACTGAGCCACAGATCGATAAAGTTGTTTCAGGCCACAACACAGTTATGCAACCGGATACTTTTAAATCAGTGACACTGAATTAATGGAGCTCCGGTTCCAACATATTTGACAGTGATCCAGCAAAAAATACTTATGAAAACAAAAACTCATGGAAAATATCTTTATTCTACTATAATGTGAACAAAATAAAGCTTCTTAAATGTGCTGTCATCTATCAGACCTCTAATTCCCATCAGGCACATGAGCAGCGACATGTAAATTATAGATTTTTTATGAAATTCGTTTTTTTACTTGATATTCAGACATGCAATTAATATTATGTCAAAGATGATTGAAAATATTGGAGCACAATCTTTAAAAAGAATGAAATGAAGATCAGCGTGTAAGAAGAATGTTGTGGTTTTGTTTAAAATCAGCGACTGACACCAAATGCTGAAAAACACATTTTTAATGTGAGAAAACAAAAGTTGCTTCTTGTTGCGGAACAAAAACAAACTGTGACTTTGTGATCACCGTGTTATTATGTAATAAACATTTACATATTCTACAAAGATGCTCATTTAACGTTTTTTCTTATATTTTTTGCAAAGAACAAGAGAAAGCACTTCTCTACTCTGCAGCTCCCTCCTCAGGTGACGATTCGTACTGCATGAGCTGGAAAATGATAAGCGAAGGGTTAGAGGTCACAGCAGCACAGACAGTGAAACCTCTCAATGTGGAGGCAGGTGTCTCACCCTGTTCCTCAGCTCTTTGTTCTCCTCCATGAGCAGGTTGCACTTCTGCTGAAGATCGGCCAGCTCCATGCGAAGAGCCTCAGCGTCTGCTGGCTCTGGCCCAGCTGCACCGAGGTGAAGCTTTATGAAACTGCAGGGTGAAGGGTTAAGGTCACAACACTCAGTTTGATCTTTGCCTTTAACTGAAGCAGATGGGTGCTGTCCTTCCAGAATCATGAACACAAAGCAAAATAATACTTTCGTTGGATAATGACGAAGAACAGACTTGCTGTGAGTCAGTCATGTTCCTGGAACCTCTTTGACCAAAGTGCTGCCCTCATAAATATTGGTTTTAGGACTGGGGGGGGGGGCAGGCATCTGTAACAGCTGTACAGCTGCTCAGTCACGTGAAGGATACTCCAGAGCATTGTTGGGTTTGTCAGTCTCTTCGTACAGAGCCACTAGAACTGCAACAGAGCAAAGAGCAAAGAATGAGCCGAGCAGAGTCACAGCCTCAGGTGTCAACATGCTAACCGGCTCGCAGTGTTGTGTGCTCACCGCTGGTTATAGTGTCCAGGACCCCGGACTTCTCCAGGTACCTTCTGAACTGCTCCCTCTTCGACTCTGAGGCCTGGAACGAGACACACGTTTTCACCCTCGACACACAAACAGTTTCAAAAACTCAACAATCTGCTGTATATGGAGTTTATCAGCCTGTGGTGCGTTCACGGCCCAGCTACACCACGCTAGCCCGCTAGCACAAGCGTCGCACCACAAGCCTCTGAGTGAATAACCAGTTCCATAAAACTACAGGTTGTGTGGTCGCACACTCACCCTGTAATGCGCCATGATGCGCGTGGGGGGGTGGCTGTTGGATATCCGGTTGTTTATCCACAGGAAACACCGACAGCTGCTGTTTGTTTGTTTGTTTGTTTCCTTCAACGCACCACGAGCACTCCAGGCGTTGCCATAACAACAGGTTAAACCCGGAAGACGTGATAAACGTGTTTGTAGTTTTCTCTCGTTCAGTTAAAAGGTTTGTAGAAGAAGAAGAAGAAGAACTTAGTCAATGTTAAACATTAATTTATAAATATTGTAAAAAAAACAGTTCGTCCGGTCGCGTTCAGCCGGTAGGAAGTGGATGAGTCTGAGTTGCCAGGTCGGAGGAAATTAAAAGTAAACTCGTCACGTGACAGAGGGGCCTGAAGTGCGTTGATGACTTTCCACAAAAAAAGGATTTGAACATAATTTGCATTCACTCTTCTCTGTTCGGTTTTTAGTTTATTTGCAAAACATTTTTAAATGTAAATGTGAAAGAGTTGAAATAAAAAAAAGGTTTGTAAAACATAGAGATGCGGAAAACCGACCCAACCTGGCAATGCGGCCGTCAGCCAATCACCGAGGAGGATGCGCCGGCTGTTGGGCAAGTGATATATACGTCACATCCGCAGCGCTGATCTGTAAATCATACAGCGGACCGCGTCACACGGGGCGTGTCCGGTCCAGTCGCTGTGAGCTCTGTGTTTCCTCAAAGCTTCCGGGTCCTGGCGCTTCCGGGACCTCGCGCTCATGTGACGGTTTCTCTTGTTGTGGTGAAAAACTGCAGCTGAGCTCAGATGTTGTTGTTTTACTGACGCGAGACAAACGATCCGGTTCCTCCGCGACATGTTTCCCACTCTCCACACAGAGACACAGCTGCTGCGGCTCTGAGACGCTCCGGCAGGTGAGTTTTACTCAATGAAGTCTCATTAAACTCACCGAGTCCCTGAGTGCAGGTTCATTAAACTGTAAAAACCATTCTATCAGTGAGAAACTGTGAAAACGCTCAATTACATGTTCCACTTTTTTTTTTTTTCGACTGTCAGGTGAATCCACTCGAAGGATGAAAAGTAAAGTGAAATACCTGTGTGTGTGTAAATGAAATATAATATTCACGTACAGCAGTGTATACTTGTGGTATAATTACTATTAGTGGTTGAGCTGGATTTTCACATGACACAGAACAATTGATAATGAAGTTGCTGAGAAAGACATGGTTATTATTTTATGGCAAATGAAGTGAAACATGCAATAATAATAATAATCATCATTATTTGTATCAGATCTTCTATGAAGTGCTGAAATGCATGAATACACCAGTAAAGTTAAATTGAACAATAAAAATATATCTGAAATTGTTGTTTTAGAATGAAAAAGAAAGAGTGTATTGATTTTGTTCACTTTATTTTCTCAGTTAGTCCACAGCTTGTGGCCCCAAACAGTCAAGACTTGTTGAGACAGCAAGCCGATTGATTGATTGATTGATTGATTTCCTAAAAACATTGAGCAACTATCTATTTTTTAAGACTCGAGTGCAGGAAACGATCAGATGTGTTTTAAAAGTGGTGGCAGCTCAAACACTTGAACTGTCTAAACTATGACAGACATGGTGGCAGCACATGTGACGGTTTAATGCAGAGGAATTTGTGAGCGATTGATATTGAATATTGTAGATTTCACACATCTTCCTTCCTTCATTATCGGACTGACTCAGGATTATTGACCCTGACATCACGACACATGTGCACAGACACACGCTCAGTGAGTCAGAGACACTTTCATGTCTCCTCCTCACACGGCCTGTTTTACCGGTTTGTCACATTCACACTGATGCTTTAGAATATAAAGTCAAACAAAGTTATTAACCACTTTAATCACTATTAATCAAAGATATCATCATGACCCAGTTTCAGCTTCTCAAATGTGAGGATTGACATAAATAAAGAAATAAAATGTTTTGCTGTTTCCTGAACATCTGTGCAAGTTGTGATGGAAGTTTTTGAGCTGATGACTCGATTCTAAGAAAAGAGTCACTGAACTGAAACATTGACTGGACTGTGAAATCTATGAATTCTTCAGACTTGCGATAATATTAATGGATCAATCACTGATAGAAGAGTTCATTTAGGTGACAACTGATACTGAGGAGCTGCAGCGGCAGGATTCCTCATTTGAACTCGTATGTGTCACTGAGTTCGTGAGGAAACTCAAACTCGAAAAAAAACCTGCAGATGAAGTCAGGAGTGCATCATTCTTCTCAGTTCCTGAAAATCTGTTTGGTAGAAAGTTTTTTTCGTCGGTGTCATCGCGATTTGAAACTTAAAACAATGACTCAGCTTTTAGATCATGGCCTAAAAAAACTTGATGTCATTTATTTATCAATGACTAAGCACATTAAATACACAAAGTAATCACGGTTTGGTTTTGTAAAAGCACTAATCAGATCATTTTCATGATGTTAGATCTGCAACTGAGCACATTGTTTAATTTATCCTTTATTAAACCAGGAAGATAATGAGAAACAATATCTCCTCTGTCACTGAGTCCAGATCAACACGGGCAGCAGAGGAAATAAATAAATAAAAACAGTTGCCAGTTATTTCCTCAATCAACTGTTTTGTTTGACAAAGTTTATTCAATGTTTAAATGTCTTGTTCTGTCTCAACAAAAGTCCAAACCCCAAATATATTAAGTTGAATCCTCATGTTTATGTTGGAAGCAGCAAATTTGGTCATTTTTGCTCAGAAAAAAACCCTAAAATCAAAATTGGATTATCAGAATAGTTGCAAATTAAATTTCTGTCGAATCGGTAAATGGAGAAATCGCAGCAGCTCTAGGTTCTAATATAATTGTGTGATTGTTTTGAACCGTCTGCATCATGTTTCATTCCTCTTGCAGCCTGAGGACGCGGTCACCAGTTAAACACAGATTCACAGATATAATTCAGAACATGTTAAACTTTATGTAAAACCAGAGTCGCTGCCGGTCTCTGAATGAACAGAGATGCTCTGACTTGGTTTCAGGTATTTTCTTACTCATCTCTTGTTTCTGACGTTGTGACCTCAGGTCGAACGAAACCTCTTCAAAACCACAGTGGTGAGTTGGAGCAGAGACGTGTGTCACGGGTGGTTTTAGTTCCTGAAAAGTTCACTGCTTTCAGAGGATGAACAACAAAACCACTGTGTTGTGTTGAGTTTCAGGCTCTGAAGTGAAGTCTGTGTGTGTCTCATGTGATCTCACATTTATTCACACATTTAATCGTGTTTATCTCTTATCCTGTTTGTTTGTGTGTCTGTGTTTTGCTCTGACATCTGATCTCCATGTCTTCAACAGATTTCCTGGACGCCATGATTCACTGACGTCGCTTTACAGTATTTTAGTGTTTCGTTGGCTCAGTCGACGGCCATGCAGCGACAACATGGCTTCTCTATCAACGCAGCCTCTTCAGAGGAGGACGAGGAGGACGAGGAGGACGTGGAGCCGCTCATCAAGACCGACGCGGGTTTGTTTCTGTTCTTATCAGGACATTTTTATTCAATGAGGAGTTTGGACTTTCCTCTCGACACAACTTTCCAGTTATTTCAGTTGTATTTATCTTAGGGATTCCAAAGTGATGTTGGGAAATGTCTTAATTTGTCAAACGAGAAGTCTAAAAACCTAAAAATGTGTTTACTGTGATGATCACGTTAGGATGACAGAGGAAAGGTGTTTGCAGTTGTTGCAGAGTCACATTCACGTCGGCACTTTGTCAGTTATAAAAGACATGTGAGGAGGCAGTCAAACTAAAATCACATGATACTGAACCAAACACATGAAGAAGAAATAAGCAAAGAAGCCTTTAGTTTATCGCAGAAGCCAAAAAGTCCAAATTAATTCTTTACCCTATTGTGTTTCCATGGAAAATGGAAACTGTAAATAATAAAAATGTCAAATATGAATATACCTTGTATCCTGCATCAAAGGTCCAAATGCTAACGCCATTGTTCTGTGTGTCAGCAGCTCCTCCAAAGTGCTGCTCCGCTCGTCTCAACCTCGCCGTCCTCATGTTCCTCGGGTTCAGCGTGGTCTACGGCCTCCGTGTCAACCTCAGTGTGGCCATGGTCGCCATGGTGAACATCACTGAGCCCACGCCGGGTCCGAACAGCTCCGTCGTGCACGCGTGTCCGATGCCGTCGGGGATGGAAAACAGCAGTGACACGTTCCCACAACCAGAGGGGGTAAAAACTTTTGTTGAATCTTGAAAAGTCTTAAAAAGCAGTGAAACTGGTTAAAAAGTCTCTGAACTTGACCTGCATCTGTCCGTCCTCTGACCCCAGGTCCCTCAGTATCCCTGGGACTCGGAGACTCAGGGCTGGCTCCTGGGGGCCTTCTTCTTCGGCTACCTGTTCACGCAGATCCCGGGGGGTTACCTGGCCGGTCTCTACGGGGGGAAAGTCTTCTTGGGGCTGGGTGTGTTGGGCACGGCTGCCCTCACCCTCCTCACCCCCTTGGCTGCTCAGTTCGGTGTGACCTGGCTGTTCGCACTGCGAGCTCTGGAGGGCTTTGGCGAGGTAAGAGGATGCTGGGTAGTGGAGTCGCACGTGTCTCAGGAAGCTGCAGGAGACACAAAGTGAAAACGTTCTCTTACTGAAAAAACAAGATCATCGTTTGTTTTTGTCTCAGTCTTTCTCCGTCTCGCTGTTTCTTTCAGGGAGTCACGTTCCCGGCCATGATGGCGATGTGGGCTCGGTGGGCTCCCCCTCTGGAGCGCTCTCGTCTGATGACGCTGTCGGGATCCGGGTCAAGCTTTGGAGCCTTTGTGGCTCTGCCTCTCACGGGCTTCATCTGTCAAACGCTGGGCTGGCCCGCTGTGTTCTACATCTGTGGTGAGAACAAGATCACATCCTCATGTAGAGACGGCAGAGAAATTAAAGGGAAAACCAACATCAAGGTGAAACAATAACTGTCTCTGTGTCTCTCTGTCTCTCTGTCTCTGTGTCTCTCAGGAGGAGCCGGCTGCCTCTGGGCCGTCTTCTGGTTCATTTTCGTGTCAGATGACCCTCGGACTCATCGTCAAATCAGCACAGAGGAGAGAGATTACATCATCAACTCTATTGGGCCTCAGGTGTGCGCACGAAACATTAACCGACGTTTTATTCAAAACGCGTCTCTCACGTGTTCTGGTTAGAAAGTAAGTGACAGTGGAAACAAATGGAAGAGACGATCACAAGGTTCAAGCCTGAGGGAAACGTTACCCTCTCAGATTTCTTCTCAGTTTGTGAGATGCAGAGATGAGAATATTGATCAGAGGAAAAAAACTCAACCTCATATGACTTTAGATCTTGGACATAAATACATGAAACAAAGTATTATTACAGTGACTCCACTCGTACAAGTGTACATGTACAAATACAGATTCTAACCTGTATTTGTTGTCAGTAGTTTTTCTCCTGATTGAATGTTTGATCGACTGTAAGTCAAGATGGACAGCTCCCAAATCTAAATCTCCCCCTGGTGGCTGGCTGCAGTATCGTTCATAAACTCCGCCTTCTCCGTGTTATCAGAAGAGACATGGACCAAAAAATAAAAAGCTTTAATTCATATTCAATTGAAGTATGCAAACATTTGTGCCTTATGCTACAATATGTATATGCATACAGAAATGAATCTGTAGAAGGATATTACACATAAATTATAAACACGCATTTATATAGTTTGAATAAATCAGAAGGGGGAGTTTTAGGTGTTGTTGTTCTTTCTGCCTCCATTGTTTTATCATTCTTCAATCCGCTTTTAAACTTCCTGTTTCCGTTTCTCTTCCTGTTCTCACTCTTGTTGTTACTTTCTCTTCCCGTCCTTCGTGTTTTATTTCTACGTGTGTCGGTTTTGTGCTGTTTGTGGATTGTGTTTAAAGTTTTCATGCTCTGGTCTAATCTGAAACGACAGGGCACGGGTCACGGCTGGTCCGTCCCCGTGGTGCCCATGCTGCTGTCCGTCCCCCTGTGGGCGATCATCATCACCCAGATGTGTTCGAACTGGTCCTACTACGCCATGCTCACCTCCCTGCCCACATACATGAACAACATCCTGCACTTTGACCTCAAATCGGTGAGTTTTCCTTTAATAGAATGGTAGATAGCAAAAAACGTATCGTCTTTTAAAGACCCAGCGACGGAAAAACTAGCTTCATTCATCAAACGTCTGAATCTGTGTCTCCGTCCTCAGAACGGCTTCCTGTCCGCTCTGCCGTATCTCGGTGCCTTTGTGCTCTCCACGCTGTCGGGCGTCGTAGCTGACAGCCTCATCGAGAGGAGGCTGCTCAGCATCACCGCCGTGCGCAAACTCTTCACTGTCACAGGCAAGTGTTCCCCAGATCGTCTTTGTGTGTCAGATGCACTGTTCATGTATGTGCAGGTGTCTCCCTCCTTCCCTAACGCCCTCCTCCTCCTCCTCCTCCTCCTCCTCCCTGCAGGTCTGTTGTTTCCCACAGTTTTCCTCGTGGCTGTGGTGTACGCCGGCTGCAGCCACATCCTCACCGTCACCTTCCTCACGCTCTCCATGACCACCGGTGGGGTCAGCGCCTCCGGAGTCTTCATCAATCAGATAGACATCGCCCCTCGGTGGGTGTTACCGTCTCTCCCTGCTCAGAAATATCCACATTTGTTTGGACGAGGGTTTCAACGAACAAAAGTCGATATCATTTGTTTAGTTTGTGTAACACTAGAGTCCAAAATGGCGTCAGTATTAATATTCAGTCGCTCTAATACAACGTTTAGTTTCAGTGAAAGTATCCGTCACTCCCTCTGTGTATCTTAGGAAATACTGAAGACAACATTTCTCCTTGTCCCCTGAAGGTACGCAGGATTTCTTCTGGGAATCACCAACACGTTTGGGACCATCCCTGGTGTCGTGGCACCGATAGTGACCGGATACTTCACAAAAGATGTAGGTCGATCACTACGTCAGCATATCAGACCGTGTTGCTTATTCACAAACATTAGTTATCCTCAAATTATAAAATGTACCTTTGTCTAAATGATTAATGTCACACACACACACACACACACACACACACACACATAGTCGTTACAGTTACACACCATTGATGTCTTCTTCTCTGGTTGGCAGCACACACTGGCAGGCTGGCAGATGGTGTTCTGGGTTGCGGCCGGGATCAACGCAGCCGGCGCTCTCGTCTTCGTCATATTCGGCAGCGGGAAGATTCAGCCGTGGGCCCTCACGGAGGAGGAGAGGGCGGAGGTGGAGAGGAAGAGCAGCAGGTCCATCTCAACATAAAAAAACACAAGTACAAATAATCCAGCTCCACTTTTATATAAAATACAGATAAGCAGGATGTTTGCTTTCAAACAGAGAAAGTTCTACCTCTGAAAATTCAAATCAAAGAGTGTAAAAGGCCGATGTTAAAAACAGGTGGCAGCAGAACAGAATAATATTTAAATCATAGAAGTCGTAGAAGCAGGACGTCTCGATGGTTCTACTGTGTCAGTGCAGTATTTGTATCTTTAATACGTGTGTCAGGTCTTTGAACGTTAAAGCAAAGAGTTTCTTTAATGAATTAGCACAATAGTTTTAGCAAAGAGTTTGAAACGACGGAGCAGTTTTATCACATTTTGAGTTGATTAGAGAAAAGCAGCTGGATGTTCCGAGTGTGTTGAAGTCAAATGGACAGACTGACGGTTTGCACTGAAATGATTCATCACCTGCTGGACACTCTCGGCAGTTTCCAATGGAGAACTTGTGTTTTAACGGTCCAGCTCTTTGAATGAGAACAATATTTACTACTGAAGGATTTGGGGCATTTTTGCCTTTTGTCTAAAAGGTGAGTGTGAATGTGGAGAGAGAGCGGGGGTGGACGTGCTTTTTAAAACATATTGTTTCGTTTTTCTCGGACAGTGAAGAAAATGGGACCAAGTGTTTTATGATCAGACCACATTTCTTGCGCTGCTTAATCTCTGACCACGTCTTCACTGTCCATTTGACCAGAAGAAGCACTTTCCACAAAGAAACCAAAAAGCCTTATGTTCGATACGAGTGCCAATATTTTACAAAACAAAGTTTCCAGGATTTGTTTTTTTACTTGTTATTTAGACGTTTTTATGCTCAACTTCCAAAGCAATGACTGGATTTTTTTGTAAACATTTTTGTAAACTTTTACGAGAAATGGTTCAATACCAGCACCTGAGAACCTGAAATGTTCTCATCACTTCTCTCAAGCAGAAGTTGCGCTTCACTGCCCCTGATAACTTATAACACAGTTAGTAATAATAAGAACAACACTAGTAATCTCATAAAGCATCTGAAGATCCACTTATATTGTTCCGCTATTATATTTCCATGTTTTTAAATGCACTGGTATCAGATTGGTATTCAGTATCGGCCAATACCCAAAGGACAAATATCAGAATCTGCATCAAGAAGAATCCAATGTGGGAGCATCTCTGACTCATGCACTATATCATGCTGCACTGTGACTGTAAAGATATGACGTGTAAAAATGTTTTGCTTTGAAAATGTGCAATGTTTTACAGACACAGTGTGTTCATGCCTTAGTTTAATTTATTGTGTAGAGAATCTTGTTGTACGTGGACATGATAGTGACATCACGTCTCTTCTTCTGCTGCTGCTGTCAGGTTCACATCCGCTGCTTCTGTTTGACTCCGCTCTAGAAGATTTACAACCAGCCACCCTGTGTTAATATGTTACCGTCTCAAATTACCTTCATTTAACTCCTTTAATCTCAAATCACAACAAAGAAAATCTGCATTATGTGCATGTTCCCTTTAAATGGCAGAACAGACACTAGTCCACTTTATTAGGAACACTTGGATGAAGCTACTGCAGTCAACGTTCAGTTTGTTGTATTGTGATATTAGGAATTTCAATTTTAAAAGCATGCAACAAATCAAATAGAAATAGAAACTAAAACGATCCACTTCCTACAGGAGGATTTGTTGCAGGACTGTTGTATTAGTTTTAGCTCAGACCTCAGTGTCACTCTGGTGGAGAAATATTAAATTCCTTTATTTATTTTA